CATGTGCAATAGCACGTGCGCAGTTGAAGTTGAAAGCAGGTTAAAGCAAGTTTCACAGGATGTTGGGTCGAGCTGAGACAACCACAGGGTTCAGTGTGAGTGCTGCAGTGCTGTAGAATTCTGAAACCAGCCACTTCCTCAACCTTCTCATGCTATGAGGCTCACTGAGCTGTCAGCATGGCTATATGTGCATATGTCTGTGTTTTCATGAAGCCTTTAAACCACTAGTATTGTCTAACTGTAATTGTTTCACAGCAGACTGATCAGTGAGCGTGATTCTCTGTTTTAGAAGGCATTTGCATTTTCTTTCTTTTATTGGTGAGTTTTCTTCTCCTCTGGGTCTATTTACAGTTTAGTATAAAGAAGAAGTTAATAAAAAGAGACAGGATACTTGTGCAAAAAATAGAAAAGAACATACTGTATAACACCTGAACTGTGACCATGCTCCCCCTTGTGGTGGCTAGTGGGTAATACACCACACTACAATTACTACTACAGGTTTTCAGCCATCATTGTATGTATTAACAACCAACACACACATTTCACACACATAAAAACTTTTTTAATTGTAATATGGAGGTAAAAAGGTTTTACCATACACATTTATGGACAAATGTGTGGCTGCTCGTCTATAAGTTTGTTTCTGTTTATATCATTTCTGACCTGCATCATTTACAAAAGTCGCACAAACCAGGTTTTCTGCACTGTCACCTAACGCTCCCTGAAATACAATAACTTCATAAACGACTTCTCTGATTTTTTAGCTGGGATTATGCCCAATTGTGCTGTTAAGAGGGAATGTCATCGAGCAGAACAAATGTGATGGATGGTCCCAGCACGGAGCCTTGAGGAACTCCACATAGCAGCTCTGTGGATTCAGACTTAATCTGGTTTGCAGACACATTAAAACTCCTATCAGATATGTAGGAAGAAAACCACTCTAAAAGAGACTCTGCCGTGGTTTTTGTTACAGCCTCCAAGAGACTTTCCCAACGTGTGGTAATCCAACTGCTCTCAGAACTGTTCGGTCCAGTGACTGCTGTCAAACAAATCCTTTTTATGCTGACACAGAGAAACTACCAGCTGACATAAACACATCAGGTTTTTATTCTGGGTTAAAATTAGTATTAGTATTGATTAAAAAAAAGACTTAACTAATTAATTTCACAATTTTCTGTAATTGATCGCGATTAATTGCAATTACTTGATGAATAGCGTGGCTGCAATGACACTTTTTAAACTTTATATTTAAGCTTGTAACAAACATTTATGCAATATAATGAAGTAAATGGAGAATAAACACAAAGAATGTGTGCTTAAATTCAGAGAGAATTTGAACAGTTTTCTTTTAGCACAGGTTCTCTCCTGTGAAATACAACTTTTTTTAAAACCTACATACTAATAGCTAAGTATACACTTATATATAATATATATATTAGTGCTCTCAAACAATTACAATTTTCAATCGGATTCATCACAGGGTTACTGTGGATTAATTTTGATTAATCATGATTAAATATAATTCATTTTTAATCAATATTAATTGCATTTCATTTTGCATGAGCAAACAGACTGGAGAAAAAAGCGGAAAATATACGCACTTAACATGTTTATTGACATCTTGTACATTCATGTTAACAAAAAACTCTGTAAACATTTATCCTCTCTCGCTGTCACTCTTGCAGAGTCACTTCAAGTCCTTGAGACGAGGAACCAAAGCTATGTAAAGTGCGTGTTCTCAACGACATTAACAGGTGTGCAGTTTGTTGCAATCCACTTGGCAAATGTGTCAGTCAATATGTTCGAGGCAGACTTACTGAACCCCCGATGCTTCGTGAGTGGTTTGTCGCAAGTTGGGTGACGCGTTAGCCAAAGTCCTAGCAGCATCCCCGGCTAATGTATGCTTCGCATCAATGTGATATTTTAAGCTGCAAGTGCTTTGGTGAAAAGAAAATTCCTTCTTGCACAATGTGATTGATTCAGCTGCCCAGCCTCGCTTCTGTTAGTGCGCCCTAAGGCAGCTGTGGCTACAATGTAGCTGCCATCACCAGTGTGTGAATGGGTGGATGACTGAATGTAGTGTAAAGCACTTTGGGGTCCATAGGGACTAAGTAAAGTGCTATACTAATACAGGCCATTTACAATTTAATTGGCCTTGGTTATGGCAGGTTAAGACTCTACAGAACGTTGTAGAACCACATATCAAAGGATTTAAGTGAATCTTTGTATATATTTGAATATGTGTGAATAATTCTGACCATCTGTCAATTTGAGAAAAAATAATTAAAGTCAAACCAATTCTTTTGTTAAGTAATTATAATTTTAAGCTGTACAGTCATTCCACCCAGTTAAAACATCAGTCTACAGAAATAATTAAAGGCTCAAAATTATTTTGGCATTCATGCCCAGGGTGGGCATTAATATCTACAAAAACGTGTGCAGTGAAGTTCATCCTCTTCAAATACTTCTGTTATTGCTGTTATTGTTAATAATCTAGTTCCTTTATACTGCTGTCTTCTGTCAGGGCTGGCTCATTATATCTGTACTGTTCACTATTATTTCTATTGTGCTGTAAGCCTTTGGATCTCCGCCTTCCTTCTCTTCTACTTCTTAAGTAGCTTCCTTCTAATGATATCATAGCACTAGAAGTACTTTCCGACCAGTGTGGATGTTGGTCTGCTTATCTATAGTTCCCACATGTGTTGCACGTTTGGTCTATTTTTTTAAGATAAAATTCTGGGTATTTTCTGTACTATCAAAGTAAAGCCAAGCAGAGATGTGATATTCTGGTGATGGCACTGACCTTTGTGTATTCTGCAAAGTATTGTGCTCATATGTTTCCCGGAGGTTTGGCTCTTAGGCCGAGTTTAAAGTGCATGTTTTTGTGCATTAATGTCTCTTCAAAGGTGAGTAAACATTAACAGACGAGGATGGATTACTGCTGTTCAAGCTGAAGGAAGTCTCATCACTAAGCACGCCAGAAGCAAAACCTCAATTTATATTTATATTTTTAACATGTACCATGATCTTATTCGAAGACACCATCATGCACAAAGACATAATGTCATTTAATTTTACACATTCAGTCAAAGTTTCACATGTAAATTTGTTCATTAAGAAAGCTGGTGTACTGCACTGCTGTTGTGAATAATCTTAAAAGGAATTAGTTAAAAATTTACACCAGAAGGAGACATTAGCTTTGCAGCAAGATGCCTTTGTGAGGCGCCAAGCTGTTTTCAGTATTTTATTTGTTTCATCATTCTTTATAATATGGTGAATTAAAGGCATCTATCAAGACCCATTGAGACTTAAATCTGAGCCAAACATTAAGGCTGTTGTTACGTTGTTAAAAACACACACAGACACACACACAACCATTAGGTTTTTATTCTTGGTTAAAATTTGTCATTAACTTGACTTAGCTGAGGTTTGTTTTTGCTCCCCAGATGTCTTGACTGACCCTTACTTCCTTGTGTGTATTTAAAGTCTCTCTTCAGTCTTTATCATTCCACTTATGGGCTCTATATTTCTTGGTCTGTTTATTAACCCCTTTTAATGGTGCATTTTGAGTTGCTTTGGCTGCTTTTGAGCCTTTGCATTTAGGTCCGTTTGTCCTGCACACCATGGTAGTTATGATAGCATAACGTATCATATAACTCATAGCTCTTGTCAAACAATGTCGAACAGGTTAGATTTGGTTTGGCTTAAAATTCCTAGAGAACCACAAGATTTTGCATATATTTATTGAGATAATATATATGTAATAATAATTATTATATTTTCATTCACTTGCTGATAACTGTAAACATGAAAAACTATATTTATTAATGGTCCGAGAAAGAGAACAGGCTGTGTATTATGAAAATACCATGTTCTTTTTTCAAGATTGTATTAGACTTGGGAATAATTACTTTTCAGGGTTAAAATATGAATATAATATATAATACATGTAAATAACAGTTGCATTTAGATTTTTTTGATTGTGTCTGAAACGTTTACAATTCAAACACCTTTGTGACTACTGCATAAAAAGTGTCTTGTTCTGTTTTGTCACTTAAACATGTCCAATGTGTAGATAGCGCTTGATGTTCCTAAGCCACTGCATATAACTACGACTCATAATAATAACATATAAAAGCAAATTACAAATATCAAATGTGATTTTCATTCATATATTCAGATTTTCATTTAATGCATAAACGTTTTAGATAATAATTAATGGTGGAGTGCCCACTCCGGGTCGGGGATGAGTTCCTGCCCCAAGTGGAGGAGTTCAAGTATCTCGGGGTCTTGTTCGCGAGTGATGGTAGAAGGGAGCCGGAGATCGACAGACGGATTGGGGCTGCGGCTGCAGTAATGCGGACGCTGCACCGGTCCGTCGTGGTGAAGAGGGAGCTGAGTGTAAAAGCGAAGCTCTCAATTTACCGGTCGATCTACGTCCCTACCCTCACCTATGGCCACGAGCTCTGGGTAGTGACCGAAAGAACGAGATCACGGATACAAGCGGCAGAAATGAGCTTCCTCCGAAGGATGGCTGGCCTCTCCCTTAGAGATAGGGTGAGAAGTTCGGCCATCTGGTAGGGGCTCGGAGTAGAGCAGCTGCTGCTCCACATCGAAAGGAGCCAGCTGAGGTGGTTCGGGCATCTGACAAGGATGCCCCCTGGGCGCCTCCTGGGTGAGGTGTTCCAGGCATGTCCCACCGGGAGGAGGCCCCGGGGCAGACCCAGGACACGCTGGAGAGATTATATCTCTCGGCTGGCCTGGGAATGCCTTGGTGTTCCCCCGGATAAGCTGGAGGAGGTGGCTGGGGAGAGGGAGGTCTGGGCCTCTTTGCTTAGGCTGCTGCCCCCGCGGCCCGGCCTCAGATAAAGCGGATGAGGATGGATGGATGGATAATAATTAATGATGACAGCAACCTAGTGGTTGTCATGAAAAATAATATCTACATCAGAGTATTTATTAGTAAAGATTTGATTTGTAATGTTCTCTGTTCTTGTTAGGTTGGTGGGTCGGTGAAAGGGAATCAGTTTTACTTTGCTCTCATCTATGAGGAAGGAGATGAAATTGAAGGTGGCTGCCTTTACAGGAAATCTGGAGGGAAATTTCAAACACTTCCTGGTTACCCACAATGTTCTATGACCAATGGAGTTGTCAACTTCTTCCTGGCACGCACAGATGCCGTGCAGAGGGTGGGCTTTGATCCTAAGCTCCAGCGGACAGCACATTCAGGTAAGTCCAGACCTCATCAAAGTTTGAGTTCTAAGTGGCAATTAAAGTTTTTTACCTTATGGGGAAAATGTCTCTTTCTTTCTCCAGAGTTCTTTATGGATGGTCTGGGCACTTTGCTAGTTGCCACATGTGGTGATGTTTCCATTGACCATCAACTCACAACATCAGAAAACAAGAGTCCTTTGTATAACAAATTTAGATACCCTGGACAAGGTGATGTTGAGTTCAAACTGAAGCTTCACTTTTACAAAAATCATCTAAAATGCATTAAATATGGATAGAGTACCAAAAAAATGAGAGTCACTGGTTTTAGAACATTTTGTTTCTTTTTGTTTTGGATGTTATTGCCACAGTGAAAGAAAATAAAAACAATGATACTCTGGTCTTCCTTTCACCATGTATGACAATTTGTTATTTCTGTCATTTCGTTCAAGTGTTTAATTTGGATAACTACTGTATGTGAAAATTGTAATGTCACTGCCACTGACAATTGTTTCTAAATTTTTAACACTGGTATTTTATTTATTGCTTCTATTTAAAATTTCGTTTTATTGTCTGTGAAATGTTGTTTCTTTAATCCAACTATGTAAGGAACTGAAATCACGGAGTACTGTTTCGCTGAAAGGATGTCCATCGGGGTTGAAACTCGTGGCAGCAAGTGGCCTGGGCCTATGTATATTTATATATAAAACATAGGTGTACACCTTGTGACATCAATTTGATTGATGTCCCCAGCCTTGACCTTTTGACCTTACCGGAAGTACTCCGGAAGTGTCTAATCGAATCCAGATGTGTGTAATATGATCCATAAGCGCGACGAATTGCATCCGGTGAGGGGAGGGGGTTACTCCGGCAGTGTCTAATCGATTCCATATGTGTGACTAATCGCATCCGGTGGGAAAAAAGGAGGGGGTTTGTGGAGGGAGGAATATAAAAACAGAGGGGCCGGCGCACACTTTTCTATGCACAGACAAGATGGAACCTTTCACTCTGCAACCCTGCGTTCCTCTGTACTTGGACGGGGAAGAGATCTGCTCTCCCGACGCCACAAGCATGGGAGGCAGCAGCAGCGACTGGTCCTCATTGGTGATCAGTGACACCCCCATCACTGTCTACAGTAACAGATGCGATGCGGCTGATTTCATATAGCACATATTCAGAACTCTATCCCAAATAATTTTATTAAATCACCCCGATGAGGTATTTTGGTTTTGTGCAGCCACTCCTTTTCAGACCAAAAGTAAAGAGTTTTTCTTCATTTTTTGAGCTTCTTTTACAACAGGTTTTCTCATTAACAGAAAATAGACAGAATTCCCAAAAGAAAACGGCCTTGTTTTACGTACATCAAGAAGGAATCAGATGACCGTCGGTTCATCCCTGTCAATTACCTCCGAGAGATCGGGATGCGGATACAAGCGGCAGAAATGAGCTTCCTCCGAAGGGTGGCTGGCCTCTCCCTTAGAGATAGGGTGAGAAGTTCGGCCATCCGGGAGGGGCTCGGAGTAGAGCAGCTGCTGCTCCACATCGAAAGGAGCCAGCTGAGGTGGTTCGGGCATCTGACAAGGATGCCCCCTGGGCGCCTCCTGGGTGAGGTGTTCCAGGCATGTCCCACCGGGAGGAGGCCCCGGGGCAGACCCAGGACACGCTGGAGAGATTATATCTCTCGGCTGGCCTGGGAACGCCTTGGTATTCCCCCGGATAAGCTGGAGGAGGTGGCTGGGGAGAGGGAGGTCTGGGCCTCTTTGCTTAGGCTGCTGCCCCCGCGACCCGGCCCCGGACAAAGCGGATGAGGATGGATGGATGGATGGAGATCGGGATGCTTCCCCCGTCGGGTACCATAAGCGTATAAGAAAAAAACCCCAGAGAATGTATTATTTGTGTAAGACTGAGAGAGAGAGAGAGAGAGAGCGAGAGAGCGAATCGATCAAACTTTTCTACAACACGTTATACCACTCCAGGTCGGGAGAGGCTATATAGCATGGACCGGTCGGATGACTACGCCGGATGGAAGCATAACCGGAAGCATGGCATGGACTTTCCCTTTGACCTTCATTCAGCTCTATGATCAGCCGTTAAATCTTTCCTCAATATTGCTGTAATGTAGAGCTTGGCGATATATCGAGGTTTTAAAACATATCGATATATTTTTATACGAGATATAAGATGTGACAATATCCTTTATATCGATATAGTCTATGTTACGTTATAATTATAGTTGTGGAGCCGCAAGTTTGCCTCTCTTTCGTCCACTTTTGTCTCTACGTAACGTTACTCCGCCTCATGCGTGGGGCTGGACGGCGTCAACGTTTTAATGAGCTAACCATGCTAACGAGCTAACCGCGCTAACCCTAAAATCCTTTCATTCTCTCAAAAGTAGCGCCTTATGTATGAATTCTGGTTGTGCTTGATGGCCGCGAACCGATTTTATGTGGTACACGGCGCTCAGCAATCTGTCACAAATGTTTTAGTACGACTTTGGTAAGCTACGGAGCTGCACCGCTTGATAGATTGTCGGCGCATTACGGCTACCGAGGAGCTTCGCGGAGTGATACGTACTGTGCTTCAATGTAATATTACCGTATTGTGTGTGTATAAGGACCATAAATGGCACCTGTAAGAGACGTGGTTATGAAGCGGATTTCAAACTCCAGGCTGTCAGTCATGCAGTAGAACTTGGGAACAGAGCAGCTGTGAAATCTGTCTGTCTTTGTTATTACGCTCAGCGTCTTTTAGTTTACATTTTGACTGCACAATTGTGAGCTCTTTGTTTAGCACAAAACAACATTGTTTTCTTTTATTTATGGAGCATTATTATTTAATGAATGCTCATAATTTAATTTTGAGTAATTTTTCATGTACATCTGTGCTGTATGTTAATAAAAGTGCCTGTGTGACATCTGGGACACAGCTTTGACTAAGAACTCTCTTTTTGTTCTTACTTTATGGCTTAAAAAAAATATCGAGATATATATCTTATATCGCCATCCAGCTAAAAAATATCGAGATATGAATTTTGGGTCATATCGCCCAGCCCTACTGTAATGTAACACCAAAGTTAGTATTTTAAGATCAGACAGGTCCCAAAACATTCCTTAGACATTCCCACAGTCATTGAATAAGCATCTGTGGCACAAATAAGCTTCAGGGACTGACTTGTTTTTTAGAACCAACATTTGACACTTGGATGTTGGCTTAATTTTTTATCCAAAGAGAAATTTGACCCTAATAAAAAAAAAAAACACAATACTGTGGTGAATACTTACCTCAACTTTGATGGTTTTTTTCACAGCTACTGTATTTATCTTGAAAAAAAGTAAACATGTTACAAGGACACATTGGACATTGCAGAGTACATGAATGGGAAGTAGGAATCCCCCCCGACCTTACACACACACAGCACAGACATCACATGGGGATACAGGTCAGAGATCGGTAGCGTTACAGAAAATAAAACACTGAAATATACACTACAATGGGAAAGTACAAGAGGAAAAAGAAGAGACCTCTACTCATGCTGGGCTCCTGGGAGGACAGCATGAGAACAGGAAACAAAAAAAACTCCTCTGCACAGAAAAGCACATAAATGTCCACAGCACAACATTATGGAACACGTGACAAGCCACAGGGTCGGGTGGGGGGTGAGGAGTAATCCGAAGCAAACACAGCAGCCATCCTGCACTGTGCTACCATTCCAGCGCGGGCTCAGACCCGCCATGTTCCCAGGAGGGAACAAGCATCGAAGGCGTTAGGAAAGGGAGGGGGGATGAGTGTGTGCATATCAGTGTATATGTATGTGTGTGCGTGTCCAGAGTTCAGCTGAGACAGTGTCCTTCGCCCTGCTAGGCTAAGTAAACAGTCTTCCAGCCAACCCAGGTGGCCTTGCATGGAATGGGAAGGAACATACTAAACACAGTCGTTATCAGGGAGATTTTGTTCAGCTCCAGCCTTGCGACCGCAGCTGGCTCCGAAAGGGTATCCGCATGAAGTGATGGTGTTTTTTACTTTAGTGCAAACATCTCATATGAATTTCAAAGGAGTTCTACAGTCCAACACTGGTCTCTCAATCTCCCGTTGGAGAGCCGCAAGGTTCACCATACTTGCGTTCTGTGATGTTGTCATTTCTTGTGCTCAAGGAACCGATTCTGAGAACTCACGGCAGTGAGCCTCCCCGAGAAAAGTGCGTCCGCCTTCGTCAAGTGCTTTGTCAGTGTTTACTCAGCATTCAAGGACAGCAATATTTGCATAGTATTTTTACTGACATATAGTGCACATATGTTTTGGGCAAAAACATTTTTTAATATTAAAATACGAACATTTGTAACAAACAATTGACAAATTAGCCAATGCCAATGCAAAACTTTATCTGCCTGTTAAAAAAAGAAGATAATCTTCTCACAAACTGGTGTTTGATTTTGAAACAGGAAAAAAAGTGGGGAAACAACTGAAAAGACTAACATTTGAATAAAACCTGAAAGCAAGTAAATACTTTCTATGCTGCCTTATGGTAAACTTTGGTAACAAGTAACAGTAACAACACTGGCTGATGATGAATTACAGTCAGCTGGTATGGTGACACTGCCAGTATTAACCTGCAGGGCTGGACCGGGACAGAAAATCGGGCATTTTGACTAGAGACCGGCCCACCAGGTATTAAAGCCATAAAGCCTTTGAATGAAAACAAATGCTGTTGTGACAGTGATGTACAGTCTTTTTGGTATATGTATGATTTCTATACATTTTACATCAGATAAAAACTTTGGTTGTAAGATTCAGATAATTATTTAATAAAAGCGAGACATTTTAAATGAGAATAAGAAAGAAAAGTATTTCTTTGTGCCCCACCTTTCCCTGTTAATGCCCTACCTGGCCCCCTGGCAAAAATTTCCTAGACCTGCCCCTGCACAGTTACCAGCTGTCAGCTACATAAAAAAGGATCCTGGTGTTATTTCTCATAAACAGTTCATAACTTCCCTTCAACTCATCCATGTCACCTAAAAGGTAAACCTGTTTCTCCATCACCTGTTCAGCTCTGATGATTCAGTAAGGACATCTCCTGGTTTCATCTTCATGTTTCCCTCTCACCACATATCCAAACCGACATCATGACCAGCAGTTTTACAGCTGTGGCTCCAGCAAACATCAGCTGATACTAGAAATTAATATTAAATAAATTCTAACAACAGCTGATCAAGCTTAAACGTGCTGCTGTTGTTTAGTGCGACATCTGCTGGTTTCTTCTTTCTTGCACAAAGTGGGCGATAAACAAACAAGAGAGAAAAGCCGATCAGGTGATCATTGATCAGTTTCATGATTGAAGTAGCAACAGGAGAGGCAGGGGGAGAGAATGAGAGGAGAAGAGGCAGCTGTGCAGCGTAACGACAGAATAACTCCAGCTTTGTGTCTTTTTCCATTCTAGCTAAAGTCCGGGACAAACTGCGTCTCTCATCAGCTCAATACGAAACGTGTAATATTATCTCTGAATGAGGGACCATTCCATTTTTTAAGGAGCCGTTGGCAACTCTACTAACTAACCTTATGAATAAAATAAAGTTCACTATCAGTAACATCATAGAACCCACCCACCTAAAAACGCCATCAAGCTGGCTAGAACGCAGTACGAGTTATTGCAACTGACGGTAAAAAGTCAGCACAACGAAAATAAACTCCACCTAAACTTGGATTATATCTGACCCAGATAGACTGCAGGTCATAACTTCTTAACTGAAGTTCAGTTCACCTGACACTCGGACTGGTGGCTGCCTCGGGTCTCTCCTCCTGCCTCCCCTTCCCTCATCCACCTGCTGGCCTCTGTGGAAGCCCTGTCATAGCCACCACCAAACAACTGATTTTTTTACACATCGACCTGCATCTGGCCAATCCACCACCTCTCATTGTTCATGCCATTACAAAAATAAATAAAAAATAAGTCACCGGGCATATCCCCGGTATGCCCGATGGCCAGTCCAGCTATGTTAACCTGCAACCAAATCTACAGCTCCATACAGCAATTTTACAACTTAGATTATATCTTATAACTCTTATGTTAGCTGCCCTCAGTAGCATACTGTCTGAAATATTCGACGGCTGCAACAATTCTTTAAGTGTTATTTTTTCCTTGGTATTCTAATTTCACCGAAGTTTACTAAACTCAACAAACTTAATATTACTTACCGGGACATTTATTCTGTCCTCATTTTCTTTCACCGAAAAATTGTTTCCTGCGGTGCCGTCTTTCGTGCTTGGCTCTCCTACCTTTGCTAATGTGATGCACATAGCGCAGAAGCCGATGCTGCATTCACTTACACTCGGATGTCTGAGCTTCACCGTGAAAACATGATCGTACATTTGATATTTGATTGAATTTTATTGTTTTACCTTTGGGGTGGCCAGTCTGGTTGGGGGGGTGGCCTGTGCCCCCCCCCAGGCCACCCCGCTGGACACGCCATTGAGAACAACTCGAGCATCTTTCTTTTGGGAGCCAAACTAGGGCTTACAAGTTTGCCGTGCAGATCCCAGCTTCATCCAGAAAGGCTCCCGTGCTGTCATCGCTGTGGACCGGCTCTACGTGGACGGACAGCTCTACCGCGACCCCGGCACCACACCGTGGTTATATTGACTACACTCCAGATAAGAACCCGCTACACTCTTTTCTTATTCATTCACACTTTCTCCTTTAACATGAGTTTAACCTAGTAATATCAATATGATGTCATAGCAGATATCACACCGTCACCCTCCGTCATTACTTTAATTGGAATGTTTATGTTTCTTTTCTTTTTTTTTTGTTGTTGCTCACAGTCAGTGTTGGGGAGTAACGGAATACATGTACCGCCGTTACGTATTTAAAATACAAAATATGAGTAACTGTATTCCGTTACAGTTACCGTTTAAAAAAGTGGTATTCAGAATACAGTTACTTTGTTGAAATAAATGGATTACACTGCGGTACTTCCCTGTTTCATCTTGTCACGGGTCAGGACTGTTTGGGTTTTGTTTGACAGCTACGTTCTGTTGTTCCAGGCGGCAGGGTTATGGTTGCCATGGTTACAGGGCGACGCTCTCTCT